GCACCAGCTCAGCCTACCGGACAGGAGGGAACGAGCGCCGTGTAAACAATGACATTTCTAACCACACCCTGCAAAATACAGTGTACTTAGCAAATGCTGCAGCTTCTGAGAATGTGGGTGGAGCGGGTTTATTACTAAGAGCAGAGACGTTACCGAGAACAAATTCTGGCTTGAATGTCATGTACACTAATACTGACACGTTCCTTGATAAGAGAGAGGAGTTTGAAACACTACTAAGAGTACACCAACCAGATATTGTAGGAGTTGTAGAACTGTTGTACAAGAACAGGAGAATCGACCCAGAGGAATGCGAGTTCAGTATAGCTGGATATGACTCATTTACGATCCTTTCTCAAAAAACTTGCAAGAGGGGTGTGGTTATCTATGCTAGGCAAGACCTTAGAGTCAGCCAGGTGAGAGTACAGGGAGAGGATGTTTTTGAAGAGTCCAAATGGTGTAAAATTAAATTACTTATCGTCAGGTGTATCTACAGATCCCCAAACTGTGGCCCACTAAATCAAAGGAACTTAAGAGCCTTAATAGACAACACGGCGATGCTCAACCCTAGCCACCTCCTTATCATGGGGGACTTTAACTATGGCGACATCGACTGGAGAAACGAGTCCACCCCAAATGACTTGAATAACCCTGCTACTCTTTTTCTAGAAACTCTGAGAGATAATTTTCTGTTCCAACATGTTAGAGACCCGACACATTACAGAGGGGAACAAACACCCAAGCCCCTTGACCTCATCATAACAAACGAGGAGGGTATGGTGGCCAAACTGGAACACCTTGCCCCAGTTGGCACTAGTTACCATATAGTGTTGTCATTCAGATTTAACTGTTACCTAGTTCAGGATAAGGCCAGGCCAAGGTGCAAATATTACAAGGGAAATTACAACGGGATGAGGGAAGAGATGAGGGGTATCAACTGGCCTGACTCATTAAGGCACAAGAACGCAGACACTACGCTGAATATCATAACTAGTAAAATGACCCATTTGATCGGTAAATATATACCCAAGGCCAAACCCAGTGTTTCTAGGAATACGAGGTGATCCCTCCACATGAACCATGCAGCGGTCGACAGAATTAAGAAGAAAACCCATAAATTCAAGACGTGGGTTGGGTCAAACGATGAGGAGGACAGGAGGATGTATGCAAAGATAGAGTGTAGAAGGGATATAAAGGAGTTCCAGAGGCTGGTTGCAAGCGAGGTCAAGTCAAACCCAATGGCGTTTTACCGCTATGCAAAGTCGAAATTGAAAACGCGAGGAGGAGTATCAGACCTGAGGCTTGAAGATGATAGTTACGCAGATTCTGACCAGGATAAAGCTGAGGCATTGAACAGCTTCTTTTCCTCGGTGTTCACAAGAGAGGATGCAATTAACCTTTCTGCGTTTGAGGATAGACGGTTCGACACAGCACTGGCCCATATTGTGTTCACAGAAGAGGGTATTATAAATAAACTGTCCAGGCTAAAGGTCCATAAGAGTCCCGGACCTGACATGGTGCATCCTAGAGTGCTAAGAGAGTTGTGCAACGAGCATGCCGAGCCCCTGAAGATCCTGTTTTATAAATGCCTGGATGAACAAAAGGTCCCCAGTGAATGGAAAGTGGCTGATGTGAGCCCTATCTTCAAGAAGGGCGATCGTCACTCTACGAACAACTATAGACCGGTGAGCCTGACCAGCATAATATGTAAAGTACTTGAGAGTATTATCAGAGATGCCGCAATGGAACATCTACTACGAAACAACCTTGTAAAGGATTGCCAAAACGGTTTTATGCCGGGCGCTCTTGCTTAACACAATTGCTCAAGGTATTGGATATTTGGACCCATATTCTGGAACGGGGTGGTAATATCGACAATATTTACTTAGATTTTGCCAAGGCTTTCGACAGTGTACCCCCATGAAAGGCTGAAAATCAAACTGGAAGGGTACGGAATTCGGGGAAATGTCCTAGCGGGCATAGAAGACTTTCTACATGACCGCAAGCAGTGTGTGGTGATTAATGGCACGAAATCGTCATCCGTATCTGTCACAAGTGGGGTACCACAGGGCAGTGTATTGGGCCCGCTGTTGTTTGTTTGTTTCATAAATGACATGCCTGACGTTGTACACTCCTCCATACAAATGTTTGCAGATGAAGCCAAGTTATTTCGGGAAATCAAGAACCAAGCGGACTGTGAAGAGCTGCAGAAGGAACTCTGTGGGCTCCAAGAATGGTCGAAGAAATGGCTGCTGAGATTCAATGTCACGAAGTGTAAGAGGATGCACCTGGGGCGTACCAACGGTAAGGAGGCGTATCATATGTCCCAACGGGATGAAGAAACTGCACTAGTTGAGACTGAATGTGAGAAGGACCTAGGTGTGTATGTTGATAATGAGCTGAAGTTCTCGGGCCATTGCGAGAAGAAGGTAAATCAGGCAAATGAATTATTGGGTCTTATAAGGTCCGTCCCTCGTAACGATCTTCAAGAGTGAAGTGCTTCCCCATCTGGAGTACTGTCACCCCGTCTGGTCCCCGAGATATGCTTGGGACTCATTTGGTTTAAAATGTTCAAAGGAGGGCCACCAGACTGGTACCTGCACTTCGGCACCTCAGCTACTCAGTCGAGTGTCCTTACTTGGAGCTGACGGACGCTCGCCCCACAAGGGGCCACAGCTCTAGGTTGAAGAAGCCGCAAGTCCAGAAAACTGTGAGGGCAAACTTTTTCGGAGTGAGAGTTGTAAACTCTTGGAACAATCTACCAGAGAGTGTTGTGACGGCACCGAGTGTGAGCTCTTTCAAGACAAGATTTGACCAACACTGGAGCGGGTTTAGGTACATTCAGGAGCCGGTGCATGCCCAGTACTTGCCAACAGTGCGTGACAGAGACGTGACCGATCGCCCGGGCGGCTAGCAAGCCGATCTCTTGGTGAAGAGGATAAAAGAAAAGGAAAAGTAATCAGAGACGTGACCGATCGCCCAAGCAGCTAACGAGCAGATCAGTGGTGAAGAGGATAAAGGTAAAAGTATGGGAACTTATAACGCTATTTTCCAAGGTCCACACTATTTTTTTTTTTTCAGTTTTCCTGACGGGGATTGCGTTAAAGCGAATATTCCTGTAAAGATCTCGACAAAATACTAGGTTCTGCTCTGAAGTGGCCACACCTTCATACGTCCGAACCTTAGTGGGAACGAAGTATTCGGGTAAAAGTTGAGGAGGTGTTCACTACGCTCTAATTATTTTTTCGAATTAGTTTTCAGGAATTAAAATTCGGTGAAGGACACAAGAATTAATTTATAAGAAACTTGTGAAATTGTGCAGAGTGCATACAAAGAACCACAGTCTCCTCTCAGCGTGACAACGGGCTTAACATTAATGACAACTGGTAACACAACCAACGAAACAAAGCGTCCGAACCTAACCTGTCGATCACTGATTAATTTTAGTTTGGTTATGCTGTCCTTGGTTCGGTTGATACCTTTTGTCTACACTACAGTCATTAATAGATCAGCTTCAGCCTTCGTAAAGTAGCTTTGTTTAGCAATACGCATCCTACGTCATTATACACTATTTTCGGTTTATAGTGTAATGTACTCTGGATTTAAATTCAACAAGTGAAACATTTTTTGGCAAATCCTACAAAAAACGGAGCTTCAGGTTTCCCATACCTTTTTTTTTCAGTCCCAGACCGCTATTTGTCTCACTTAAAAGATATACACGCTGCTTTTTCTGTTACTTTCTAAAAACCCTTATCAACAAGACGTCACTTTTTAATTTTGTACCAGTTAGGCCCAACTTTAAACTAGAAGTATTTCATTGGCTTACCAATGCAAGTTGTTCAAAAGTAGTTCTACTTTTCGATAAAAAATAATCTGACTTCCAAAATTCCCATGAAGAAGTTTTCATCTTCACCTATACAACGTCCATAATTACAGTAACTATACATTATTTAGTCTTCTCACCTGCATAGTGCTGCATGAGGGATAATCCGGATGAGGACTCCTACAGCAGCACAGCCTTCCTAGAGGTCTCCCACACACACACACACATCTATACCACACGACAACTATGTGGGAACTGCTTCTATGCTGCTGTACCAAACCAGATCCGGGAGTCAGGCGTTCACGAGCTGGGTAACGACAGCCTAGTACTTGGGTAGTTCAGGCAGGGGTAAAAACCAACGTCAAGTCACAGGTTACGGTGTGTTTTGTTTAACTCGGATCTGCCTTTCAGGAACATCTAATAATACTTGGGGGTGCAGTATGTCGTACGGTAAAATTTATTAATAACAGCAGGCATTACCTACTGTATATTAACACACAATGAGGTACTAAAAATGGGAAGTCCACTGGATTCCATAGTCGTCTGGGTCCTGTTTAATATACACTATTAAGGACGTGGGTTAGGAAAAGTTAATTCAGCTCTGGGTTGAGAAAAATAGTTGTAAACACACATCTTCCGGTCACGCAGTATACGTCCTGTGACCTGTTCAACTAGAAGGATTCCCTGAGCTTCTCACCTAGTCGTTCTCACCTTCACTAGTCAATACGTAACACTGTTTCTCACCTGGCTACTCAGTACTAACCCCCCCACCCAGCATGCACGCATATTAACCTAGGCCGTTGCCCTATTATTAAGACAAAATTCTCATATTTTCCTTTAATCATGTTTGGTTTATCTTGAACTACCCATCTGCACATGTACGATGATCAAATTAGTCGTAAAGAAAGTTTTAGTTTAAATGATTTTTATCAATACCATCTCTATCAATTTAAAGTTATTTATGACTATTGTATTTACTAACATTACTCGCTTACAGGACTTATTTGTTCAAGTGCAATAATTTATTATATCATCTGGTACATTCATCTAAATCTCAACTAATAACTATTTACATATATTAAAGAGAAGTCACTCCTATGGCTGACAGTGAGAGTAAATTTGGTCTAAGGGAAGTGGTGGTTCATCAGTACGAGGTTGTTGAAGGATAATAAAACACTGGTTCACTAATGATCATTTTATTCACTTAACATTTGCTCCCATGTGTAATATTTGACGTAAATTCTCAAAATATGGAGACAAAAATATGGTCGCGGAGAGTTGGGGTGTACCAGCCATATATTGTATGTATGTGTGGGAATTGTTCAAGTAAAGTGTATAAATTTTTATTTTAAGATAGTGAAGAACCGACTCGGGTCCAAAGAAGTGTTCATATAAAATAAATAAATTATAGAAATTGAAGGGTAATACTTGAGAGCGATCTGGCCTTAGCAGCCACCTGACGGAATTTCTCCATTGAAAACAAAATTTTTCTTACCTCGAGAAACAAAAAAAAAAAAAATAAATAAAATAGAGCGTTTTGTGAAATACTGGCTTTTGATGTATGAAATGGGTGGAGGAAGACCTGCCTTGTCACCGGCGCCAGAAATGAATTTATTATATTTTAGAAGAGCAAAATAAGTAATGTAATATTTTAGGTTGGTTAGGTTAAGTTAGGTCAGGCAGGATAATTTTATTCGTTTTATGAACGAAATGTTACATTGTAAGAATATGTGTTACTTGCTACAGAATGTTTGATTTGGGCACCACTGGCGCCAATAATTTAAATCACTTAAAATGCTTTCGTGCCAGTTCAGGAAAGATTTATTTTATTTCGTTGTGTCGGACGAAAGAAAGTGAGGCATCTATTTGATCACTCTTCTGTAAAAAAATAAAATAAAAATCATCTTCAGGAGAAAGAACAAAAAAAATGTCTGAAAGATATCATCGGCCGACTTGAAAAATTTACAAATAGGTGGAGGCCGGAGCTGAGGTGCAGAGTAACGTCAAGAATCGTCGGAGTGATGTGACGTAAAACGCTTTACTCTGTTTCTCGCGGTAAGAAAGCGTGTATCTTCTATGGAGAAATTTCGTCTGGTAACTGTTAAGGCCGGACCACTTTCATCAAGTATTACTAATTGGAGTTGCTATAGTGTAGAATAAATATAATTTATAAACTTATGGATAATTCATATAGTTAGAGAACTTAAAAGATTCTAATATGAAATAAATAATAACAGGTAATTATGAAGATAAATAGGAATATTATCATAGATTAAATAATTTTAACAAGAGTCAACAGTACTTTAAAATTTACAATAAATTAATTATCAATTCAGGTCGTCAGGAATAAAAGTATGAGCTATGACATTCTGATTTTTGCCAGTCAGAAAATTATGGTACATTTGAGGCAAAATTACTTAGATAATTAAATGCATAGAAATTCATCTTATTATAACACAAGATTCATTCCATATTACACAAGATCAACGAGTTAGTCATGATGCACATTCCATGAAACAAAGTTATATAAGTTAGCACGACACTGTGGTTGGGTGTAAAGAAGACGTTATAGCGTACCTATGAGCTGGTAAATTAGTGCCGTTCCAACTATAAATAACTTTACATATGCAAAACTTAAGGTGTTCTGAGGTACACTCGCCAACACTTGAACGTTTGTACACTGTTCTTGTTTTAACTTCCAGGGTTCACAGTTGGCATAACTGATTCTTACGCCCATAAATACTATAATAATTTTCTTTACACACACCCAACAAAACGTACTGTGCTTACACTGAACCTCTTATGTGACTCTTCATGAAAGTTTTAATTTGGGGGTTATCGATATTTTTAATTTTGTGCATAAGCCAACACGTCTCGTGTAGTACAAAATTTAGTCTAAGCATTTTATTTTCTAAGTATATGAAGTCACGTGATACAGACAAGTACACCGTCTTACTGTATCTATTTTCCCTAGTATTGTGTTATACACTGCAGCTCACAGGCTCAAGAAAACTGACCAAATACACAGATATTGATGAGGCGTTCACGCACACCTACCTATACAGCACAATATATTTATATATATATATATGAAATTGTTTACTATATACAAGTAATATTATTTAAACCTACACCTTCATTGCGCCCACATTCATGAGGGAGGGTAGACTCAAGAAGAATACCAGGAAAAGAAGCTTAGATTTAGCTAAGTCATCTATCGAAAGTACGACAAGTCGATCACGGATTCAGGAGTTAAAATAGCAAAAACTTGTCGTTTATTGCATTTACCCAAGATGGTAATGAACTAAACACTATACCATAATGAGTGCGGAAGAGACACACAGAAAACCTTAGTGATTATTAATCACTTATAAAAAAATCGAAGAATAAAGATCTAAGCCCCAGAACCAAAAATAAATAAGAACAAGAATATACCAGACAAGATTCAGAGGCAACACAACTGAGCTACGATACTGAGCTTCTGTTGTTGACCGACAGATTAAGAAATTACACACCATTTCCTATAGTGGTAACAGCGAGACAAGGTGTGAGAAGCACCCCACCAGGACAAGCCAAGGAGGAGTAAAAGCGTTTTATTTATACAAAAATTTTTTTGGGCAGCCAGGATCCTGGTGGTCTGTTACCTGGCGAGATTCTGCTTAACAAATAAGTTCGAACTCGGGTCCTAAAATATTAAACTTCATTGACCCTAAATATATGTAGATTGTTCATACCCTGAAAGTTATTCTTTAAGGTAAAGGCTACAGGTGTTCTAATGAAGCAGGTGTATACACGATAAAGCTTCAGAGTGAAAGGAATGATACTGACACTCGGGCCTCGATATGAAGAACTTCATAAAATATCACAAGTTCAATGTTCTTCCAGCGTGTTCAGCCTCAGGTCCTGACTATCTCCCCACACAAGACCTCCATCATCTACACGAACTCGTGAAAGAGAATTTGCAGATGTCAGGCTATCGCCCAAGGAAGACTAAAGAAAGGTTCGTGCTTAACAAAAGACTCTCTTCTACCACTTTCAAGCTTGATGACTCGACGAAATCAATCCAAGCGCCTTGAGGCCAACATTTACTCATAAAATTAATTATTTGACTCCCAGAGAAAGAAAAATCGGGTTTTTCTCTGCCAATCGTAGAGGGTCGTGAACGCTCGAGACCTGACTAGCACCGTTGCTAAGACATCCTACATCTAGGCACGTATGTATGGCAAACTTTTTTGGATATCTAAAATATTTCTTTTTTTTAGTATTACTTACATTGATGTGGATTTATATATAAATGACTGAGACGTGGCAGGAAGCCTTTGGGTGTCAATACTATGGAGGATTTTAATATGGAAGATTCCTAGAATTACACACTCGGATTGATCGAAACACCATCCTACATCTTTATATACAAATGTAAAAAAATAGATACTTCATATATTTACATGAAACTATAATTATCACTCCATGTACACAATGAATAATACACAAGTAACTTAGGTTACATTCCCTGTAGTCTCACTCACTACCGAATTCTAATTACTGAATGATGAAGCACAGTGCACGTTTGGGAACACGAAACTCTATCGTAATTGAGTAAAAAAATACAAAATATGTAAAAGTATATATATTTTTAAGTCTAGTTTAAAATTTGCTTATTATTTCCGGGAGTATTTGTCTGTGTCTGGTAGCTCGTAGATGAGGGCGTTGAGGGAGTAGAACCTAGAGGCGTGGTCGCAGGAGAAGTTGTACCACCAGTCACACACGAAGTATTGCTGGTTGAAGACCGTCCCGTTGGGACAGAGGAACGCGTCTTGACGTCCGTCCTCCTGGCAGATGTGGAACGTCTGTTGGAGGGAACGTGGAGTGAGGAGAGGTAAAAAACAAAAGAATACCAGGAAATACATTGCAGGAATGACTGATAATTAAGAAGATTACACTTATGAGAAAGAGAAGGTAAAGATGGAATATGAGGACGTGTAAAGAGAGAACAAGGAATGAAGAAAGGAATTAAGTATGAAGACATAAGCTAGTGAAAGACTTATGGGAGAATAAAGATGTATGGTAACGTATAGGAATGAAGCCTAAAGCCAATATGAAAAGGTTTTTGGTTTTATGTCGGTGAATTAGGTAAATATTATGAGGACTTACTGAGAGAAGGGAATACGAACAACAGAAAACGATGGAAATGAGAGAGAGAACGTAAGTAACCATGATATACTTGGCAGTATATATAACTGCTCAACTGAAAAACTTGTATTTTCTAAACCCTAGAATTTAAAATACATATTTTGGGGGGTGAATGTGAAGGAAATGCGACAGACCTTAAATGATGTGGTTGAAATTAAAAAAAAAAAAAACAGTTATAATTAAGCGACCGGCAGATGATATTTACCTTATTTACCTAATAGTCACGCCAACAAAAGGTAGCCACACTGAGTTAAGAGGATCAGTGGCCTGTGACGGATCTGTCCAGTACTCTTGAGTCTTGTGAAGGTTTATTTTCAAGCCCAGTATTGTTCTCTACTCCACAGCGTACTTCCTTATAGTCGTCCTGCGTGACATCTTGGCGAGTTTCAAGTTGTGACCCTTTGTGTTGGTGGTGGGTGACATCATGAAGAAATGACCCGGGTTCGTGTTTTCCATTCCTTTCAAGATTTTTAATGTCAATGAGATCTGCCCTATTGTGTCTTGTCTGAAGAGTTGTTAGTCCTAAGGCCCTCAGTCTACTGGACTAATCAAGATAATATAATTCAGGAATCATCTTATAGTCGCTCTGTGTTGCACCTTCTCTGGGACATATGAGAGACGTATAAAGTGGAAGGAGCATTTTCTTGTCTTTGTATTTGAAGGTACAACTTATAATTCCTTAATCTGGGTTGGATTTTTTTCACTGCTACTCCCACTTGCTGTGCTGCCTTCAGTGTCGTATCTATCACAACACATAGATATTTTTCCTTATGAACAGCAGATTCGCGTTATGACAACCTCGGGCCTCGGCCACTTTATTATCAAGTCCCCCGCCTTTTTGTTTTTAACTTGATAAAGAAGAAAGAAATTTCCAGGTTTAAATATAGACTCGTTATAAGGTGAATGAAAAACTTGATTACACAAATATTCAAATAATTAAACGTAAGATCACCATAACACAGACACTATATTTGTAACTAAAATTTCTCTGTCTTATAATTTGAAAAAAAAAATGTACAGTTAAAAGTTGCTCATTCGCACTTTCATAACAGCAAACTGAGATATTCCATCATAGAAGTCAGTCACGCCTGTGAGATCGCTTCTATGGACATAATGGTGAGGCAGTTCACCTTGTCTTGGTACAGTGTAGCTCGCCCTTCATTCTTCACTAATTTCATGTTTGAGAAGCTACGTTCTGCTTCACTCACTCTGAGATGCAGTGACGGGAAAATTCTTACGGCAATAATGACATCAGGAAAAGTTGAGTCTAAATTCTGAACCCTTATGAACCTAAACATTGATACTGGTGAATCCATCCTCTCTTTCAGCCGGATCATGAAGTTATAAAAAAATTCAAATTCATCAACAGAATCAGAATCAAAATCCTAATATTTTGATGGGAAATGAATGATTATAGTTTGTAAATGCTCTTTGTTTTGGTCTAAGAAACATCTTATAAATGCAGAATCATCAGCTATCTCTCTATAATAAAGCTTCTTTACGTTGTTACTGTTCAAGAGATGTCAGCAGCTTATCTTTAAAGACTGTAAAGGTTTTCACTCTGAAAATCTGACACGGGGAGTCGGTAAATGATTCGTCTGGTGATGTACTCTCATCAAAACATCTCTCACGTTTCTGTTCATTTTGATAACACTGGCTTATGCGTGACATTGTATTCTTTGCAAAATCTTCGACCCGATCTAATTTCCTAAACAGTGTTCAAATGAACTCTTCCAAGAATTCCAGCAATGATGTGGCTGTCAATAATTTCACATTTTCCTTTTGCAGAGTAAGGTTCACTTTTTGAAAGAGAATAAGTATTCGACTCATATTTCTGCCGGTAACCCTGTTTCATGCTTTTCAAGGACAACAATTAATCCGTTTAATTCTCACCTAATACATTCAGACGCATATTCAGTCGCTACAAACTCTTTCAGGTTTTTGTATATATTTTTGTAGTTCAATCACAGTGCTTTTGTAGATTCGCCATGGCACGACCATTGTGTGTGCTGTTGACAAGTTCTTTTAAGTTAATATCCTGTTATTTTCATTTGGAGTGCAACCCTTTGTCATGATAGCCCAACTGTGTGTTACTCTTGCAGAAAATGCATAAAGTTTGTTCAGCAACCCCATCAAAAAAAAAAATTATATATATATATATATATATATATATATATATATATATATATATATATATATATATATATATATATATATATATATATATATATATATATATATATATACACGATAAACTTGTGTTTTCTTCCTTGTGGTTATATATATATATATATATATATATATATATATATATATATATATATATATATATATATATATATATATATATATATGTTTGTAAGCTACAGCTAACACTGTGTGCCCCAGCCAGGTTTAGTGATCATGCAGCTCAGGGTCATAATCGATGAGATTATTTACATCTTTGATTTTGGGGGGAAACCTTAATATCTACCCGACATATCAACAGTATCCAGGAAAGTGTTATTACCATGATAGTTGTGATTAGGGTTGTTGTATCCTACGTGCAGTCTTACAATTTGTAAAGTTAAAAATCACTTGCCAGTGTTGCGACCATTTGAACAGCTCGTACAGATCTTTTTGCATGGTTGACATCATCTGGTTTGCTACCTTCCTAAATGTCTTCGTGTAGTCCGCAAACTTGACATTGTGGCTTGATATATCTTCATCGATGTCGTTAATGTAGAATTGTAGATTATACACAAGGTGGGTCTCCAAGTACCTCACAAAGAACCTTCTTCCATTCTGAATGTAGTCTGTTTATGACCACAAGGTTAGTAATTACACTATTCCAACAACATTTAAATTATTTTGAGAGATAAAACTCTCGAGTTAAGTAGGTGGGACTTTGGCAAAGTACTTAGACAAATACATGAACTATACAACACATCCACTGGTAAACCTTAGTCCTCGTCGTCTGTTACCGCTTCAAGGAAAGTGAGGAGGTTTGTCAGGCAGGATTTTCTCTTTATGAAACAGTGTTGTGATGTTTAGATAAGACTGTGCTCCGTCAGGTGCTGGATGATAGCGTCCCTCAGAATTTTCTCAGAGTGTTTGCATATATGTGATATGTTAGGATGATTGGCCTGTAGTTTTGTGCTGCACATTTTCTTTCTCGCATACTGAGGTGACATTAGCTGATTTCCAGTCCCTAGGCGCTTTTCCTTAATCCAGAAATTTCCTAAAAACGAGTCTTAGTGGAGTGCAAATCTGTCTTGCCACCTCCTTTATCCCTTGTAATAGTTAAACCCCTTCCTTCATATGCACCAGCTACTGAATGTGTTATCGTGATGTAAACATGAAGAACACTCACCAAGTCACCGGGAACAAGAAGTAATGAACTTTGTCGTGTCAATGTGATCATGGAAGTAATGAAAATTAATTAAGGCTTTTCTTGGCTTTCTTAGGCTATCTTTGGTTGAATCGACTTCTTGTTTACCATTATTTATATACCTACAGTATTTATATACACCCTGAACAAATGATAACTTTTATGACGTTTTACTATCTATCTATCGAAATATTTTTACAACAGAACTTGCTGCAAGTTATTTTTCACGTTTTAAAAACCTGGCCATAGCTTAACAAACTCTACTGGAGATTAATAACCATATATTTATCACAAGAATACTTAATACCTGCAAGACTTAATTACTCATATACAAGAAATAGCTCTACTGCTGCACACTGTTCCCCGCCTGCTACTATTACAACAAAACAATTTACGTTAAGACAAATTCAGTATCCCACTTATTACAAACACTTGTTCTCCGGCAAGACCCAACCTAAGTCCTACTATTTCAACCCAGAAGGACAATGACTTATTATAATACTGACCTGGCACTGTGGCACTGATCTTCCCTTTCTGGCACCAGATCACTAACCCGGCATTAACCTTTCCTCGCACTATATCACTGGTCTGATACTGTAGCACTGACCTTCCCGAGAACTATATCACTGACCTGACACTGGGCGTCGACGTCGGCGTAGAGGCCTGGATGCTGCTGGGCTTCGCAAGTGAAGGTTGTATCTGGCACTGAGGCGTAGACGGGGTAGTCGACGCCAGCCTCCCCGGGGATGGCATCCTCGTCGTACTCCACTGGCACGTAGATGTTTTGGTCTGCCGGGAGGGGCAAGATTAGCTGGAGGGGTCACAGGCAAATGGGAGGGGGGAGAGGAGGCAACAGGAGGGGTCATGGTCAACAGGAGTGACCATGGCCTAGGAGGGGTGGAGAAGGTCACCTGGAAGGATTGCGGTTAAAGTAAAGGGGGTTAAGAATTCATAGGAAGGGGTGACGGTTTGTGGGTCAAGAGGATGGGTTATAGTCAGTAACAGAGTACTGTAATACGGTTAACAGCATGGGTCAGCTTCAAGCTAATTTGGGTTACAATAACACACACACACACACACACACACACACACACACACATGTAGGTGTATAGTGTACATAAGAACATAAGAAAATAAGGAGTCTGCAATAGGCCGGTTAGCCTGTGCATGGCAGCTCCTGTCGAGAGTTACTACCACTCTCTATCATCCATGAATCTATCTAGCCTCCTTTGAAACTTTCCAGAGTTCCCACACTTACTACAAAGTTGCTAAGCTTGTTCCACTCGTCCACCACCCTATTTGTGAACCAGTTTCTTCCTATCTCCCTCCTAAACCTATACTTATCCAACTTGAATCCGTTGCTCCGAGTCCTATCCTGCTCGGATATTATAAGAACTTTATCTATATCCCCTTTATTGATTCCTTTCACCCACTTAAATACTTCTATCATATCTCCCCGCACTCTTCGTCTTTCTAGGGAACGCAAGTTAAGTTTCTTTAACCTATCCTGATATAGAAGGTTTCTAAGTCCCGGAATCATTTTTGTCATTCTTCGCTGCACCGACTCTAGTGAATTTATATCCATTCTATAATTGGGGCACCAGAACTGGACCGCATAATCGCGGTGCGGCCTGACTAGCGCAAGATATAGTTGCAATAAGACCTCTGCACTCTTGTTACTTACACTTCTAGATATAAAACCCAATACTCTGTTTGCCTTATTTCGAACATTAACGCACTGTTTTCTAGGCCGTAGGTCCGGGCTTACAAGTACCCCTAAGTCTCTTTCACAAGTCGACTTCTCTAGGTTGATGTTGTTAAGGCTGTATACATTATAAGTATTTGTTCTTCCAATATTATGTATGAAGTCTTAATCATTTTTTCTTTATCAGATCGCCTTCTAAGTCCTCTCTCATGTTTGAAAATAATACACAAACAAACAAGTTTATAGAAATATTTTAGAATTACAAATATTTAATTCATATCCCAAAGCTCTGAGACCTATAGTATGGTGAGTTATAAGGCGTTTGTATTAACCTGCTCGGGTCACCTGAAGGTTAGGTTAGGATAGGTTAGGCTAGATTAGGTTAGGTTAGGTTAGGTTAGGTTAGGTTAGGTTAGGTTAGGTGTGGTTAGGTTAGCGTGGTTATTCTTTAGGTGAAATAAGCTGGTGGTGGAGATTCTTCAGGTTGGCTATTTGTTCAATATGGTGACCGGTCAGTAAACTTGATGTCTATATTCCTTATTCTTCTTTCGAAAGCAAGATGTGTCCACATCAGTTTTGTTGTCATTGGATGAGGTAGAACTAATAAATGAGTCCTGAGTCTTCACAGATTATTCATTCACTGTCACTATCTTCCATAATGTAACTCTTAATTTCTACCGGGAGCCAAATAAAATGGTCTGGTGGTAGCCAGAATAAAATGTCAAGTGCGTAACACGCGGTGAAAGGGTTAATAGACCTCCTCTCTCTCAGTACTTAAAGACTTCCTTGTTGTAAATATTTCAGAGTTTCTAATCATCAACATTCACCAGATGCTTAAACTACACATATTTTTTAATTTGCCCCATTATGTTGTCTTTAGTTCCTTTAACATATTATGTTCCCATTGCTTTATACTCTGACCACAATGTACCTCAATAAAATAATTTAACATCCATAAAGAAGAGTTGGAAGAAGTAGTGTACCCTTCATGCTGACGTCTTAGACATTCTACACTTAATATCCTCCCCAACACTAAGGCTGTCTGTCTCTTCTTACTTCTATGAATAATAAGAAACAAAATATTAGTAAACTTCTGCAGCAGTATGAGACAACGGGTGATCCATACCGGACTGTACGAAGTCAGGCTGTGCTGGTGCTGTGACGGTGGTGGTGGAGGGACCCCTCACGTGGTACAGGGAGGAGGGTGCACGGTACGCCTTGGTGGACGTGCGGTACACTGGCGACGCCTGCCTGTTTTTCCCTGTAGAGCTCAAGTACTGTCGGCGGGGAGTTGAGTTCGCTGACGGCCTTCTCCTGCTGTAGCTTCTGCTTGTGGTGGTGGTGACAGCCACGGTAGGAGGCGTGGGCGTGCGGTAAGCGGTCGTAGGTGCTGGTGTGGGTCTCTGGACATCGTCCTTTTCCACGACACTCAGGCGGGAGGACTCGAACTTAGGTCTTCTGGAGATGAGTCTGACGGTGGCAGGTCTGGTGGTGGAGGCGTGGGTAGGAGTATGGGTTGGGGCGAGGGAGGGAGCACGGGAGGACACTCGGGCAGGGACTTGGGTAGGGGTGCGGGAGGTGTGACGGGAGGAACCATGAGGGGTGTAGTTGACCCGGTTCCGTGAAGTGGTGGGGACGCGGGTGGGGACGGTGGAAGGTCGGGGGGTAGGGATGGGCGTGTATGCTGGTCTAAGCTTGACGAATTTGTTAGGGATGGCTGTAGTGAGGGTGGGAGGGGCGGGGGTGGTGGGAGGTGGGAGAGACACTCGGCGGGAGGGAGTAGGAGGAGGAGCGGGCGTAGTGCGACGTGGAACATAGGTGGTGGAGCGGGCCGGACCTCGAACGGAAGGGTTTGAGGTACGTGTGGGCGGGTGTGAGGCACCTGTGGATGGGCGTGGGGCACGTGTGGGTAGGGTTACAATGCTTGTGGGTGGGCTTGGAGTACGTGTGGACGGTCGTGGGGCACGTGAGGGAAGTCTTGGAGCGCGTGTGGGAATAGTTGGGGCTTGAGTGGGTGAGCTGGGGGCTCGCGTGGGCGTGCTGGGGGCGCGAGTACGTATGGGGCCGATGAGAGCGAGGGCGGTAGGCATTTTCTCCCCGAAGGAGTGAGAGGTGAGGGGCCTCAGACTCTGCAGTGCCTGTGGGAGTATGGATATATTAGATATAAATAAATAAATTATTTTTATATACAGTGTGTTCCGTAAACACCTTCCATAAGCCAAGGGAGTATTCCTGAAGCATAAATAAAAATAAATGACTAAATTACCAAATTGTCAATTCTCAACAGTTCGGAGTTACATCACATGGCAGGTTTGGTGGGAATGTGATGAAACCTACTGTATATGGGGTGTAGATCCACTGTTGCTAGTGACGTTTATCAACAATAATAATGCCATATGATTTGTGCTGGTATTAACATTTAGAACAAATGTTCAGAGTTCTGCTCCGAACTGTTGAGAATTGACAATTGGGTCATTTAGTCATTTATTTTTATTTATGCTTCAGGAATACTCCCTTGGCTTATGAAAGGTGTTTACGGAACACACTGTGTGTGTGTATATATATATATATATATATATATATATATATATATATATATATATATATATATATATATATATATATATATATATATATATATATATATATATATATATATATATATATATAAGCACTCACACGAATATTGTTATTTATTTCAGAAGCTACCAAACAGCAAATTTTAAATGACACAGGGATGCGGGTGGAGGGTGACCGCTGTAGGTAAGACCATCCGTCACTGTCTATTTTTCTCTGTTTCCTCGGCTTTCTCTCTTGGACACACCCCTTCTTTCTATGAAACATTACTCCCCCCTATCCTTCACATACTAACATACGGGGTTCCCTCTCTCCCACACACACACACTTCCTTGAAATAAATGTACAGTATATATATCAGGTGCCCTCAAGAGAGCTCAGGTTCTCAATTGGCTCAGCTATGTTAATATCGTTATTATTATAAACTCTGTATCTGTAATTTTCGAGCTAAATAAACACTACCAATATCACACACACACACACACACACACACACACACACACACACACACACACACACACACACACACACACCTCTTGCCTATGTGTCACTTACCTGGTTCTCGCTCTCTCTGTCCAGCTCAGGTAGGTCGCCATGACCAAGATCTTCGTCAGACTGTTCCACGGACCCTGGCAGCGGCGTGTGGTCGTCGATGTAGTAGTAGGAATCAGTCAGGTAGGAAGGCCCAGGTGGCTTCGTCACTGGCTGTAGGAAAAAATATTGGTTAGATTAGATCAAATGAATTTAGACCAGGTGAGTTTAGATCAGGCGAGTTTAGATCAGGCAAGTTTAGACCAGGTGAGTTTAGATCAGGCGAGTTTAGACCAGTTGAGTTTAGACCAGGTGAGTTTAGATCAGGCGAGTTTAGACCAGGTGAGTTTAGATCAGGCGAGTTTAGATCAGGCGAGTTTAGATCAGATGAGTTTAGATCAGGTGAGTTTAAATCAGGTGAGTTTAGACCAGGTGAGTTTAAACCAGGTGAGTTTAGACCAGGTGAGTTTAGATCAGGCAAGTTTAGACCAGGTGAGTTTAGACCAGGTGAGTTTAGATCAGGCGAGTTTAGACCAGGTGAGTTTAGATCAGGTGAGTTCAGACCAGGTGAGTTTAGACCAGGTGAGTTTAGCCAGGCGAGCTTAGATCGGGTGAGTTTAGACCAGGCGAATTTGGATCAGGTGAGTTTAGACCAGGTGAGTTTAGATCAGGCGAGCTTAGATCAGGTGAGTTTAGACCAGGTGAGTTTAGACCAGGTGAGTTTAGACCAGGTGAGTTTAGACCAGGCGAGCTTAGATCAGGTGAGTTTAGACCAGGTGAGTTTAGACTAGTTGAGTTTAGACCAGGTGAGTTTAGATCAGGTGAGTTTAGATCAGGAGAGTTTAGATCAGGCGTGTTTAGACCAGGCGAGTTTAGACCAGGCAAGTTTAGACCAGGAGAGTTTAGATCAGGCGAGTTTAGACCAGGTGAGTTTAGATCAGGCGAGTTAAGATCAGGCGAGTTTAGACCAGGTGAGTTTAGATCAGGTGAGTTTAGGTCAGGTGAGTTTAGATCAGTTGAGTTTAAATTAGGTGAGTTTAGATAAGTTGAGTTTAAATTAGGTGAGTTTTGGCCAGGTGATTTTAGATCAGGCGAGCTTAGGCCAGGCGAGTTTAGACCAGGCAAGTTTAGACCAGGCGAATTTAGACCAGGCGAGTTTAGACCAGGCAAGTTTAGACCAGGCGAGTTTAGACCAGGCAAGTTTAGACCAGGCGAGTTTAGACTAGGCGAGTTTAGACCCGGCGAGTTTAGACCAGTCGAGTCTAGACCAGGCGAGTTTAGACCCATGGAGCTAAGATTAAGTGAATTTAAACCTCACGAGTTTAGGCCAGGTTTTACAAGCGAGATCAGATAAAAAAATAGGTTAATGTAGACCAGAGAGTTCAGGAACCCAACCCAGATGAGCTGAGAGCAGATTGTGTACCGTGGCGGAATGGCTATCATACTAGGATGAAAATCTGGTGGTCCCGGGTACTCCAGTAAAGCTACAGTATTTATCTTCCCTGACTAGCATCGTAAGTTAGTAGTACTATTAATACATACAGATAGTTCCACCAGACTGTCATATAGTTCATACACACTAACATAAAGAGGAGAAAATATATATGTACGGCATTTTCTTAACCTGTTTGTAATGCATGACGTGACGCCCAGAGCCACAAGTTGATGCTGTATGTTGACTACCTTAACTTAGGCTGAAGGTATGCGTAACGCCAGTAGAACTTGGGTGACGCCGTGGGGTGAGTATCTCAACCTGACGCCAGACCTACATAGCTTTCTCTATGGTTTGAGTGTGCTGTTTGAGCTGTTCACTGTAACTCGTGCCTTTTCGTGTACATTCACTATGTGCCTGTAATTATCTGGTACCTGGTATGTAAATAGTTTAAGATTCAGTGAACCATAAAGGAAATACGTCACGGGTAATAAATTTGTGATCCGGTAAGTATACTACGTCACCGACTGGTGGGGAGAATTATAAGTAATCAACGTATTAACTGAAGTTACCGACTGTTTATACTGTAAGAGATAAGGTGATGTAAGTACTGTAGCTTAGAATGATCTACCATCGTCTTGACTGGACTGTTTTCCCACCTACATAACTAAGCATTACTTAATATAGTGTACATACATGATGTGTAACTGACGATACGACAAGTCACCGTATTATCATCGTTCTGAGTTACATGGTTTACACAGACACGTCATCCATAAAGTGTGATATGATTCGTCGTAAGGTGAGGCATCATCTTGTGACCGAGGCTGCTCAACTATAACAGCTGACACAGGCAAGTCACCGTAACAGACGAGCGACACTTTTAGTAAAATGTAAATAAAAAAGGTTACCCATAATGCCGACAAACTACACTGTACTCGTATTTACCTAATTTAATCTGAAAGAAAAATAAAACTTGTAATCAGCATCATGACCTACCGTCCTAAAGGTACCAGCAGGGTTCTGAGGAGAATAGCGCGAGGAGGACTTACCTCGAGGGCGACGTGACTGATGACACCGTCAAGATTGATGGGTAGACGGTCAGTGGTGGTGGTGGGCTTGGTGGTGGTGACGGGCATGTCAACTTTCTGCACCCTACCCTTCCCGCTACCGCCCAGTTTGATGCCGAAGTCCTATGGAGAGCAGAAGGGTGAGTTTGGACTGTATTGTAACTGAAGACACTCCTAATTGCTAATAATTTGGGATGTATCGGAACCAAACTTTTAAGTTCCATCTGGAACCAGAATTCACCAAAATTAAAAAAAAAAAAAAATAAGCGGAACAGTTTATTCGTGACCACCATCTTTCTTCCACCATTATTATTTGCACCAGACCTAAAAGGGAATCCGAATCGAATTGAATCATGATTTTACTGATTCATGATAAAATCGTTTAGAGTGGATTCAGTGGGTTTAAAACTGAATCATTACTGTATTATGAATCAGCGATCGTGCTTTCAGTTAAAAATTCCAATCCCTTTCACTTTTTGTATTAATGTTTTTGTACCTTAAAGAAATTATGCATGTTCATAAGTATATAAAATTCAAGGGCACTACAGACCGTTCTTTCTAAGTAATACATCGTGAAAAAAAAAAACTTCTATTGCTTTGATTTATTTTCTATTTTGTATTTCATATCTTCCCCTTTGTATCAAATTTTAAATCTTAGGAAAATTCCGATCAAATTACATAATGTATTCTGGTGCTTCTCTGTGATAAAGTTTGTAAGAAAGTTAGAAAGATATACCCTGCCTGTATTTCAAATTTAAATAAAGTTCCTGTTCTACCCGGAATTTGAACTTTGAACAAACTGGGATTCCGGCCGTAACTAAGTTCCTGTGCACCTCTATAAAAACCCTAAAATAAACATTATCACAGTAACCTGCACGATACACAAGTTAAAGTTATTTTTCAGCAAAATGACCAAATATTAATTTTCCATTTACAAAGAGACTACACACTTAAAACTATTAGGTTATATGGGGTAGATGATGATAACTAAACGAAACAATATATAGCAGGACTCAGACATTAGGCCACATACACAGGTTACATAGCAGGTCTCAGACATTAGGCCACATACACAGGTTACATAGCAGGTCTCAGACATTAGGCCACATACACAGGTTACATAGCAGGTCTCAGACATTAGGCCACATACACAGGTTACATAGCAGGTCTCAGACATTAGGCCACATACACAGGTTACATAGCAGGTTACATAGCAGGTCTCAGACATTAGGCCACATACACAGGTTACATAGCAGGTCTCAGACATTAGGCCACATACACAGGTTACATAGCAGGTCTCAGACATTAGGCCACATACACAGGTTACATAGCAGGTCTCAGACATACACAGGTTACATAGCAGGTCTCAGACATTACACAGGTTACATAGCAGGTTACATAGCAGGTCTCAGACATTAGGCCACATACACAGGTTACATAGCAGGTCTCAGACATTAGGCCACATACACAGGTTACATAGCAGGTCTCAGACATTAGGCCACATACACAGGTTACATAGCAGGTCTCAGACATTAGGCCACATACACAGGTTACATAGCAGGTCTCAGACATTAGGCCACATACACAGGTTACATAGCAGGTCTCAGACATTAGGCCACATACACAGGTTACATAGCAGGTCTCAGACATTAGGCCACATACACAGGTTACATAGCAGGTCTCAGACATTAGGCCACATACACAGGTTACATAGCAGGTCTCAGACATTAAGCCACATACACAGGTTACATAGCAAGTCTCAGACATTAGGCCACATACACAGGTTACATAGCAGGTCTCAGACATTAGGCCACATACACAGGTTACATAACAACAACCAAAACACAAAACAAAATAAAAGAAGAATTTAGTAAAAATAGCCAGTTCTCACCTTGAAGTCTCCAGGCAGGATTGGGAAGTAGACGGGGGTCTTCTCAGTAGCAACACCAGGAGGACCCTCGTCACCAATGATCAATCCAGACACCACACCCATCGCCCCTGCAAGAACAGGTCACCTCAGGTCATTGAGAGAATCACTGTATAAAGCCAACACACACACACACACACACACACACACACACACTACTACTACTACGACTACTACTACTACTACTACTACTACCTTGCTGTCGCTCGGAATCGAGTATGACGATCATCCAGCTATGATACAATAATATGAGTTATTAAAGATGTCATCTTCGTTGGTGAACTCTAAGGTTACTAGAGAGGACGATACGGGACCGGTAGGGTCGTCCACATATGTGGCACGTGTGGAGGGCTACATCTAGTGCGGGAGGGGCAGCAGAAGCGTCTTTCCGGCGTTGGCGCTTGTCTGCCTCGGTATGCAGTCAGGCTATCTCGTGTGGTGCCTCTCCAAACGTTACGATGTACGATGTGGAGTGATCGTCTCCCGGGTGATGGGGTCGATTTGGCACTTTTTCAGGTTTTTCTTAAGACTATCCTTATACCTTTTCACTTGCACGCCAGCATTACATTTACTATGCATTAGGTGACTGTAAAGTAGATACTTTGGCAGTCAACTGTCGTCGATGCGGGTAACATGGCCAGTCCAATGTAGTTCATGGATAATGGTAGCCAGCGATGCTCCTACAGTTGGTGTCAGTGAGAATACTGGCGTATATTCTCTTGTCTACCCAGCGAACTCGGAGGATGGAGCGTAGAATACATTGGTGAAAGTTTTCGTGTGCCTTGAGGTGCCTCCTGTATGTGACCTATGTCTCGCTACCAATCATTATTTTAATTGTCCCTAAAAGGTTCTATCTTCACACAGTCGAGGACGTAGTGTTTAAGTATGTGGCCATATGTTTGACCACACACTTTACATTTAGTCTTGTTCACATCTGCTTGAGGAACATACTACCAGAGGTACTTATATCCTAACCTTAGTCTAGCGGTTACAACATCTTTTAATCTAGTGATCTTGTTACTTGCTCCATATACATGTTTCACTTGATACATCTCATCATGGTAACCTATGGATCGACTAGTGCCTGCTTGCACTTGTCTACTTGCGTCAAATTCATCAATAAGCTCCTTCCTAATTACAGTTTTAAGGGTTGTTTTTGACAGACCCAGATTGTATTCAACAGTGTCTTTGTTAGACGTGAGTTTGGCGAGGGCATCAACTCTGTTATGTTCTTTGAGGCCTATGTGAGAGGGGATCCACAACAGTTTGATCTTGATACCCCGGTCAACAAGACACGCACATTTGTGTCTGGCTTCAGAGACAAGCTCGTGAAAACTTGAGTTGAGGGTGACAAGTGCAAGTAGTGAGGATAGAGAGTCAGTGATGATGAGACTGTCAGTAACAGTGGTTTCAATGAATTTGATAGCTGTGAGTATGGCAACTAATTCAGTTTGTAGAGTGGATACCCAGTTGTTAATTCTAACTTTTTTTTCAATTGTATTACCGTTAGGTTGAGTCACAACGATAGCACTTCCAGCCCTCCCACAAGGGGTGTTAAGAGACCCATCAATGTATATGGCCTGTGTGATATTATCATCAGTCTGTAGGGTGTGTATGTGTTCAAGAGCTCTCACTTTGGCAGTGTTGAAGATAAATAATTTTATAATTAATTTTTTTAGGCGGATATGTCGGTATTGTGATATCGAAGGGAACTGTCCGTCAGGGTGGAAAGAAGCGCTGTTTTTGTCTCAACTTTGTACAGATAGTCTAGTCCAAACTTCTTCATATGTGTAGCTGTAGTTTGGATCCATTTAGATTCACCAGTCCCATGGTTCATACATTCAAGCAATTTTAAGGAAACAATGTCGTCTTATGTTGTAAAGACCCTTCATCTGGCACTGGTACGAGTAAGGAAGGCAGCCGAGAAAATGGAAAAGACAGTTGGTGTCAGTACACATCCTATTTTTACCACCGTTTGGATGGGGAAAACTAAAACTGGGTGCTATTAGGCGGGACACTGCCGTTCAGGCCATCGTGGATTTGCCTCACAATGGCAATGAATTTTGGTGTGCAACCAAAATGGCCGAGGGTCCGCCAGAGGGCTTCCCTGTTGACCGAGTCGAAGGCCTTGGTTAGGTCGATGAAGGCCATATACAGGTCATGACGCTGTACTCTGCACTTTTCCTGTATTTGGTGGGCAGGAAAGATCAGGTCAGTGGTGCCACGTGATGGTCTAAAGCCACATTGAGATTCTGGGAGGAAGCTTTCCACCTCAGGAAGAAATCTGTTTAGGACGACTCGGGCGATATTCTTGCCAGCTACGGACAGCAGCGAAATCCCACAGTAGTTGCCACAGTCTGGCGGGTCGCTCTTGTTTCTATAAATATTGACAATAGAGGCGTATTTGAGAGCTTGGAGGATTTCCTCCTTTTTCCATATATTCTCCAGGAGAGAGTGGAGACAGCTGATAAGCAGAGGTATTCCTGCTTTATACACCTCGGCTGGGATTCCATCAGGCCCTGAGGCTTTGTTATTTTTCATCTGTTTGATGGCAGTAGCTAACTCATCCAGGGATGGAGGATAGCTGAGGTGGGTCAGCTCTGGATGCTGAGGGACCTGCTGGGTAGTCAGGACATCCACATCAGTGTTTCGGTTGAGCAGCGAATGGTAATGCTCTTTCTAATGCTGAAGAATGCCTTCTTCGTCTTTAAATAGGGAGTTACCTTCTGATGAATGGAGGTGGGCTGCGCCATGAGTGATTGGCCCATAAAATGTTTTAGTGGAACTGAAAAATTCGCGCATCTTGTGATGAGATGGAAGTATTTGAGTTTCACATGCATTATTTCTAAACCAGTCGTTCTTTAGATTGCAAAGTTAGCGCTGGGCCACAGCTTTCTTATTGCGGTATCGAATTTGGTCCAAGACTGAGGGTTGTTCTGCCAGTCAGTTAAAGCAGCACGTTTATCATCGATGAGTGCATTGATTTCCGGTTCACTTTCATCAAACTAGATCTGGTGTTTTCTTTCGATGTGGCCGAGGGTCTCTCTACAGGTTTTTGTCATTACACCGTCGAGAATACTCAGTTCGGCACTGGAATTTGGGTTGTTCACTGTCGAGTTGTTTATCAGCCCATATTCGAGCTGTTCTCTGAAAGCATGTGCTACCTGTGGATCCTCCAGACACTTAGTGTTAAAACCTCTTCTGGAGGCTTGCTGCCTTTGCCGTTTTGGAGCGACATGAAGTGAGTGCTTGGCTCTGACGTGACGATGATCAGTGTCGCAGTGGTCTCAGTCACGCATAGCTCGAGTGATGAGGACATCTCGGCGACCTCTTTCTCTGACATTTATGTAGTCAATGAGATGCCAGTGTTTGGATCGTGGGTGTTGCCACATACCCTTGAACTTGTCAGCCTGCCTAGACAAGGTATTGGTGACCGTGAGGTTGTGTGTAGCACACATGCTGAGGAGGAGTAGGTCGTTGGAATTACACTTGCATTTCTCTCTATGGTACCCTGTCAAATGTTAGCATCTCTGCCAACTCTGGCATTGAAGTCACCAAGGAACACAACCTTATCTTCTCTGGGGTTAGAGGTTAGCACTCTGCCAAGGTCAGCGTAAAAGCCTCCTTTACGCCATCCTCTGTATCCAGTGTTGGGACGTATGTACTGGTGAAGAAGGCATGACATGAGTGATTCCGTGGGACTTGGAGCGTCATGAGGCGCTCGCTGATCTCAACAGGCATTTCAGTTAGCATATGTAAGATGCATTACCAGATGGCAAAGCCAACTCCAAAAATGCAATTTCTCTCTACAGCAGGCTTACCCTTCCCCCAAAAGGTATAGCCCTGACCCCAGTTCTGTGAGTCAACCCTCGTCTGGATAGCCGAGACTCACTAATGGCTGCTATGTCGATGTTATACCTAGCCAGCTCTTTTGCCACAAGGGCAGTTCTTCTTTCAACATGATCATTTGTGCCAGTATCCAGAAGGGTCCTGACATTCCTTGCAGCAACCATACGAGGTTGTGTAGTATGTTGTTGCATTGATCTGTGATTATGATTGTGTTTTCGAACGCACAAGGATGACCTTACTGGGTACGGTTGCCCAGTCAGGTTGGTTCTTTAGACAGGTTATGTTTAGGGCACTTTTTCTAGCCTTCTTCCACTGTGGGTTGAGCATAGTGGCTTCTCATAAGGGCTGCTCAGTCGCACAGACAGGACCAGATTGCACTTCTGCTTAGATCCCAGTGCATAAATGACCATCTTATCTGTGCCGCCCATGTGCAGAGTTGTGACTAGAGACTCCAGGCAGTCATCTCTGCCTGTCCCCGTCACCACTCGTTCGTCCCCATAGTACTTTTGGGAATGTAAGGGTTTTGATGATGATGAGAAAAATGATGAGCTGAATGATGGCTGTGCGTGAGTTGATTTATGTGGTGAGGCAGGAACGCAGGCTGCAACCACACATCTTGGCTATCCCTTTTCCTGATCCAGTGGCACAATTGTTGCAACGACTGGGAAGAGGGAGAGTTGGAATGGACTACTGATAGCCTAGTTTGTCGGGTTTGGCCTTAGTAGCCTGTCCATCAGGCATTGCCTTCGTCCGCCTGTGTAGTCGTTGGGTTCCCTTGTTGGTAACCTCTTCTGCATATACCGCTGCTGGGGTTTTGTTGGAGCTCTGTAAGCATGTCTGCCTGATGCGGTGCTCCACAGAATATTTTTCGTTTGGGGTTTACTCCCGGAGCCTTATAACTACCAAGGTTAATCCATAAGGCACACACACACACACACACATACACACACACACACACACACACACACACACACACACACACACACACACACACACACACACACACACACACACATCTTACCTAACAGCAGTAAACACGTCGTCGGGGAAAACATCATTCCGTCCTACAAGAAAAAGAAAAAAGAAACAATGTTAATTACAAGAAAATACAAACTTATATGTTTATCATACGTCAACAACTGTCACAGTAACGCCCCGAATGTCTATCTCTACCACCACCTCAGTTTTGATTGACATTTTTATTTTCGAGAGTTTGAATGTTAGTCGCGTCAAAATAAAAGCAGCGTGGTGTACTGTAAGTGTTTATTAGAGTTAACTAGACACACTACAGAGGCATTGCTACATAACTTATTGTCATATCATACCATTATAACTGCTAACACAATATATATTCAGAACATAATAGGCCCATATGAATTAACTTGCTCTAATATAACTTAATTCAGTATAATTTTTACATTATAATTAATTTTTACGACCAATTATCCTCTGAACATTGTTTTCTTTGTTTACTGTATTCAGCACCAGTCGACATCTTGTTCATAACTTCTCTGCAATAAAACATAGTACACGTATTACTACAGTGATCAGGTACAGTATTGCTGCGTGACAAATACTTTTAAGCACAACTTCAATTGAACTTTCAACGTCCAAAGAATTCCTTTAAACTTGGAGTTTGCCGTCAACAGGACAGCCTCGCCGTGTCGAGCAGTATCAAGTACACTTAACTAGCAAGTAAGTTGAAGAATAAATAATTATTTGATAGAAAATATTGCGAAAATTATAATTAAAAGAATAAAATGGTTTGAACAATTTTGAAATTCATTATATAGATAGATAGATAGATAGATAGATAGATAGATATTCAGTGAAGTCATCATACAGGTTCACACAGGAATTTACGATCAACGAAAAATGTTAAATAGGAAATGATTCAATACCAGACGAACTTACTTGGTTAGTCTAGGTAAAATTCTACTGACTAAGAAAGGAGTTATTTTAATTTTATCTACCGAAAAACCTAATGAGTTCTTTACCTAAATTTACCTCCGACCCAGTTCCCGCCACAACAATAATGTATGCGTTCCAGTTACAGTAAACGCTCGCTTTGAAGATATCCGAGCTTCTCTGATATTATCTTTATAACAACAGTTGATTTACCACAAGCCTGGTCAATAGATCTTGTAACAGGATATTGAGATATTGAGTCATTGATTATAATTATGAAAGTGGAGCTAAATTTTACAACTGCCCAGACTCATCACATATAATTAGACTTATCACCACTCTATCAATTTAGAGGTCGAATGTATATAATTAATAAATTTTCTTAAATTAAATATATAATACGACGTACCGAGTTCATGTCAGACTAAGACATAAAATAACTGTTATATCAATGCAATATATAATTCAACATGTTAATCCTGTAAAGTTTGAGATAAGCAGTTCACGACCGCAACTGTAAAGGTTTCTGGTGAAATGTATTATAGAACACCTGCCAGTTCACCGTCCGTAGGAGGTGTAACTCTGACATTATCAGGGAATTCGTTTCATGAGTTCAATATGAAATTATGAGGACAACTTTCACGGAGCAAGGATATATTTTACTCTCCTTTTTCCGACGCAATCAGTAGACCAAAGATTCATCTAAATATTACCTATCTTATGGATAATATTAGTTACTCTGTTCCTTGGTTTAAGAGTTACGAACAATGTATACAGTATTTTTAAATTATCATTTCCCTATTTATCAGCTTACTAGACGTTTAGTCGGTTGGTCTGTTCATAGTTACTTTGCTATCAACTTTATTGTTCAGTGTTAGTACAAGAGTAAACTGGAGTATCCGAAGGAAACCTGTGATGTTTGGTTGGGTCACACTGGATGTAATGGTTGCCCCTCGTGTAACGAGGATGGCCGGCCCAAGGGCCACCTAGGCGTTAATTTGTTTAAGGTGTAGAAGCTGTCGCCAACACGACAACCACACCCTGAGTTAACGAGATGTATGACCCAGTGTCAAGGAATAGTCAGAGAAGACCGGACAACTGGCCAACTGGTCAACTGCACCGGTTAACCCAGTAGTAATTGGGAACCTGGATGTGTTTTGGGATTATATATCAGTTCTCGGATGCAAACCATAAACCATGGAGAAAATTTCAGAAAATACTTCACTTTGTAACTAAAGCAATATATTATACACACCTGCCTACTTCTAAGCTAATGTAGCAACGCATTTTTTTATATAGATATAGGACTTACAGGTACAGTATGTGTACACTCATGGGCGGCATATGGCGACATATCACGTATACCAACCAGAGTATGTCAGTGATGATGATTGATCCTGCATTTATACAATTTGGTAACTTATAAACAATACTACAAATTTTCGCGACAGAATCCTGATTATCATCTTAGTTACTCAACATGGTAACTTTTTTTTTTAAGTGAGAATTCAGTACACAAAAGAGAAACTACATGTAAAATAACTTTTTCTTGGATGGAGGCGGGAGACAGGCTGAAGGCACGCCAAGGACACACGAGCAGATCGATTATTCTTATCTGGGTTAAGTAAAATGGTTGTGAAGAATTTAAAATGTAATTTATTGGGTTACTTAAGAAGTCACTCCGATATACTGACCCAACACAGAGTCGCCTCCATATTAGTGTCTGACTCTAATAATGAAAACTATTATATCACTCTCCCCGGTGCACCAGCCCGTGAACCCTTAACAGTTTAGGAAGCACAACTGTTCTGATAAAAGGAAAATACACCATCAACTGTGGACAGGGACGTGGGTAAAACAGCATATCTAGATAGTCAACAATGTGTTCAAAGTTGTACATGGAAGTGAAAGTCAAAACAACGCTTACAGCTTTATAAACGAAAGCAAAAGCAGAATATACACAGAATTCTTGAGTAAGATCAATGTTTTTGTAATTCTTAAAAGATTCCCACTATTCTATAATGTAAGAAATGATTCGTCACAGTTAGTGGAGATAGTTAATAAGAATCTTTAACACTGTCCCCTCCACAACAGTATCCCCTCTAAACATAGGTCAGTTTTCTCTTATCATCCCACACGGTAAAAAAAAAAACCTTCTCCATTTGCACTTAACATATTCAAAACATCGTGTACAGATAACCTTAGAATCAGCTGGAATATCACTGTCTTAGCGTCGATACGTATGATACATGACGTACTGTATAAGGTACCGACGTACAGTATATAATGGCGTATCCAAACCAACACGTAAACACCATTAACTTTTTCTCATCTTGAAATATTTTTTATTTTCTGTTTCCCGTCTTATATTTTATTCCTGTCTACATTCTTCACTCAAATCTATCTATCTATCTATCTGGTTCCTGTTTATCTGTGTATGTTGTGTTTGTATGTGTGTATAGAAAAACTTAATATAGCGTGTTTATGTAGTCTGAATCAGTGTTAGGCCAACCGTTAACCCTTCAACAATGTTCAGAACTTTGCAGGCTTACACGTTCAAATTTAGTAGGACCCACACACACACACACACACACACACACACACACACACACACACACACTATCCATGAGTTACCCTTTTACACAACATCCATAATAAGTTGTAATAGATTCACTCTCGTTATAACAAAAATATACTGTATGTAACTTCTCAATAAATGAATAAAATCGTCACTCAGATGGCAGATAGATAGATAGATAGATAGATAGAGAGATAGCTAGATAGATAGATAGATAGATAGATAGATAGATAGATAGATAGATAGATAGACTCTTTGGCTCAATATTCGGAGTGGTTTATTAAATATTTGGGTCCATGCAGAAATAAATATACAGAAAAACATAAGAATGGAGGAAACTGCAACGGGCCTATTGGTCCATACTAGGCACCCCCGTTTACACCCAACCCTTATCGCTCATATATCAGGTCCAGCCAATATTTGAAGCTATCCAGCGTATTTGAGTTACTGTTGAAGTTCGGTAACTTGTTCCACTCGTCCACTACTCTATTTCCACACCAATGTTTAACTGTTTCGCTCCTAAATCTAAATTTGTCTAATTTTTAACCATTGCTACGAGTTCGCTCCTGGTTGGATAGTTTGAGTACCTTTGTTATATCACCTTTATTTAACCCCGACTTTCAGTTATACACCTCGATCAAATCGCACCTCACTCTACATCTCTCGAGGAAGTGCAAATTATGATGCTTTATCCTGTCTTTGTACTCAAGGTTCCTAATGCCCGGGATTAGCTTTGTCATCCTCCTATGAATGCTTTCTAGGGATTCTATATCCATTCTGTAGTAAGGTGACCAGAACCGAATCGCGTAATCCAAGTGAGGTGTCACAAACACAAGATATAGTTTTAGGATAACCTCGCTAATCTTGTTACTAACACTCCTTTGTATGAACCCAAGGACTCTGTTAGCCTTGTTTCTAGCAAATACGCTTTGTTGTCTTAGTTTAAAATTCCTACTTATCATTATTCCTAAATCTTTCTCGCAGACAGATTTCTATCATTTCTCTATAACATCGTTGTTCGTGTGATATCTTGTTTCTCTATTTACATCTCCTAGACTAAGGACTTTACATTTGTTCACATTAAATTTTATCTGCCAATTTTAAGACCATGCGAAATTTTTTTTAGATTTCCCTGTATCTTTCAGAGTCCTTGTCAGATTTAATTACACACCTTATTCTAGTGACGACAGCAAATTTACTTATGTTGCTGTCTACGCTTATATCTATGTCGTTTATGTATATACTAAGTAGTAATGGTCCAAGTACTGAGCCTTGGGGTACTCCACAAGTGACCTAATCCCAATCGGATTTAGTACCGTTTTTATTAGCCTCCACTTTGAGTATTAGTCTTTCGCGGGAGACTCTGTCGAAGGCTTTGCTTAAGTCGAGGTGTATTACATCATAATCGTGTCCGTCATCCACTGATTCGAAAACAACTGAAAAGAATTTTAATTGATTTGTCAGACATGAGCGCCCACTTGTGAAGTCATGTTGAGAATCATTGATCAACTTGTGCTTCTCGAAATGATTTCGAATAGGTTTTGAATTTATTTTTCCATCAATTTGCCTA